GAAAATAGAAAAGTAAAAGACTATTTTGTCCCCTTCTTCCCCAAAATCTTCACTCGATCCTTCCCGATTGACGCAGGCACTACCACTAGTCGGCGATCCCTCCCATCCGATGACCACAATCGATTTTGAATCTTCGTTCCCCTTGACTCTGCCACCTCCACATCACCGTCGTGGATCCTCAATCCCCCCTCCAGAATTGCGGATTCCTCCAACAATCTCATATGCTAGTCGCCCCTCTCCAACCCTCAGTTTGATTGAAGCCGTCACCGCTCGAGCATTCGTTTCCCCGATGGTCGTTGCGAAGAACATTGAGGACATTCTCAATCCTTTGTTCGAAAAAATTAGAAGGGAAGAGAATCCACCCATAAAGATTCTTCCTTTAAGGGTTCACCTAATCATCTCTGGAAGCGGCGGATCCATAACAGGTTAGAGCATTGGGCCGCATTTAAAAAGTGATGGAGAGGGATGGGACGTAAACCAATAAACACTGAAATATATACTCAAAATAAAAAATTTAGAAGTACTATACCAGCTTTGGATCAGGGGAGGGCTGGGCCGTGGCCCGAGGCGGGCCCCCTAGATCCGCCACTACAATAAGACGAATTGAATTGAAAATTGTCTTCTTGTAAGCTATCCTTTTCTAGTGTATATTATCCCTAACCCTATGAATATATTAAGGGGAAAAAATGGTCAGATTCGATTGGGGTCGCTGGAGGGGAGGAAATGGTGACCGACTTAGTTGCAGAAGATACACTCGGTCAGTTGACAACAAAGTGGTATTGCCAGCGACAATCGACGCCGGAGCGACCAGGTGGTAGACAACTGGGGAGCGATTTAGTAGGGGATAAGGTTAGAACATAAGGGGGGAAAATTGTCTATTAACATGCAATTTTCATGACGTCATATAGACGGAAGGGTAAGTGTGAGAAGAGTCTAATAGTAGAAGGGCATATTTTATGTGATCAATAGTACAGGGTTATGTTTGAGAAAATTACAAATTAAAGGGGCATAATTAATATACATATAACTCAAAGGTTTATGATCCGTCTATGATAGTTGACACACACTTGATCCTCTTATTGGCCATGTATGCTCTTTCATTTGAGGATTCCTATATCGTACAATGAACCATTTTGAAAAGCCCAAAGCGCTTCTGTATAACATAAAAGCAGAAGCTCTGATTTGGAGCTTCTGCGAAAAGCTATTTTGAAATTACAAGATTATCCTTACCATATTTTAATTTTATTTCAGAAAATATAATTTTCTTTCATTTATATTATTCTAAAAATAAAATAAATAATAAAAACATATTATTTCATATAAAAGAAGTCTAACAAGATCCATTTTGACTATGTTTTATTGTTTAGAATTATTATTCATAGTTTATATTATAAGTCCTTTATAGTTATTTTACACAACCTCTCATATTAAAAAACACTTTTAATAGTTTTTCATCCAAACACTCAACTGATTTTTTTTAAATGTACTTCTCTAAAAGCTCAAGCCAAAAACTGCTTCTGCAAAAGCTACAATAGGGCCAAACTGATCCAACCTCTCATATTAAAAAGCACTTCTAATAAATTTTCACCCAACACTCAACTGCTTTTTTTGAAAAGTATTTCTCTAAAAGCTCAAACCAAAAGCTGTTTCTGCAAAAGCTACAGATTATTAATCATTCTCCCTGTGGTATAATATTTTTGTTATTATGCAAAATCTTGTATTTATTTTTTAATCGCTATAGCTTATAACCAACCGTTTTAGTAAGGAATTTAACCAAATATTAGTGTTCGTAAAGAAATTCTTTTAATTTGTCGAACTTTTAATTCTGTTCAAAGGACCAAGGAAAGATATTGAAGTGAGTTAGTAACAATTATTTGATGGTTTCTTCAAAAAATATGGTTCTGCTTTGTTTGTCATCTTTATGTTTGAATATTTCTATAAAGGTAAAGATAGTGCAAAAAATGGAACTGTTGCTTTTCCCTAATATTTTTAGTGTCTCAGGATTTTAAATTAGAAACCAAGTCGTACGATATAAAGTGTATCTACAGGATACATAAAGCAAAAAACATGGGTTGGGTTTTAAAGGATTTGAAATTGCAGCCACCAGAGGGTTTCACGGAGGGGCATGATTGTCAATTTACATCCCTTTAAGTGAAGCTGTGTGTTTTAATGCAGCTACTTCTACGGGACCTTATACTTGGCAATGGGGCCAGTCAGGAGGGTCAGCGTTTGGCCCAAACTCGCCCGCCTAATTTAGCTGCGAGAAACTCACCACGCAGGCACGCACGTGAATAGCAGCAAATGCTGACATTACGACCAAATTTGTCGACGAGAACCCTTTTCATGTCGTCTTTGGTCTGCAGCGTCGCCATCCCTCGCCTCTGAAATTAAATTCTTACTCCGTGAAACGCTGCAAACTCCCCCAATTGAAGAGCTGCAATTATCAATCCTTGAAACGCCTCAAGCTCCCCGCAATCGAAGAACTGTGATTGACAATAACGAGGGTCAGGCAAGCAACAATTGGTCTTCCACCGTGAGTGCCGCAGCCTGCAGGGGAAACATGCATGTCCCTTTTCTATTAACTGATCACTATTCTATTATCACCCAACAGGGTTCACGGAGTAGCAGTTAGCTGTTGTGCAGTCACTATTTCGACTTGAATTATCAATTTGACATGTAGTTTTTTTGGTTGTCAATTCCTTCATAATTGCTCCTGATCTACTAATTATAGCTTTTCATGTGTCTATGGTCAAGGGTGAATGCAATTTCGACTATGAGTGAAAATCAACGTAGTCATGGATCCTCTTGATGGATGATAGATTATTATTATTATTATTATTATTATTATTATTATTATTATTATTATATATATGAGTGAAAGCAGAAGAAACAAAGGTTTACAAATAATTAGTGGGTAGCCGAGATACAATCTGGGCCCCCACTCCCTTAGCTATAGAAAAACTAAGTCTAGTAAAAATGTATGCGGCCTCCCGAGTCCCTGCATCCTGAGACAAGGAGAATTTATGGACCCTCTTGAGCAAAGCCACGACTTCTGTATCCAACTCTCTCAGCGAAGAAAAAGAAAAGGGCAGGAAACTGTAACCACCCGCCATACACAAGTCCCGGTACTTGGCACATTTTCGCTGAGCAGCATCAACAACAACTCGGTCGGGCACAAAACCGGTCATTCCTGTCTGAGTCAGAGGTGAAGATCCAGTCAAATCTACACACACATCTCGTCCCCTGTCCCAGGAATAAAGCAGCCAATCTGCAGGACGAAGGGGTCCGCCATGTCCATCAACCAAACCGATATCAATCTCCCTACCTGCAGAAATCCCAGACCTATAACAGATGTCCAATAAGGTCTCACGAACGAGGTTGTGCCAATGCTTAATGCCCACAGAACCAGCATATGACACAGCATCATACCCAAAGACATCACCAGGAAAGACACGGGAACAAGCAAGACATGGCTTAGATACCGAAAACAACGAGACACCCATTCGATAGCTAAGCACACTACGATATGTCCTCCCATTCATAGTCTGGCCCAACCCAGCAATAGGAACAACACGCAACCAGTCAGAAGAGTGTGCACTCTGCTGAGACTTCCACAAAGCCACCTGACGCGTAGTCAACGAGAAAACAAAATTTGAAGTAGTAACAACCTTCGTGAAATACATAAATGCCAATTTCTTCATAAGTTTTGGGGCAGTAACTCCACTAGGGTCATGAAAGAGATCATAACCTGTAAACTCGTTAAAGGTGCGTAGGGCGTCATCAAAAGCAAGGCCAGGAGATAGAATACCAGAAGGACTTAAGAGTTTAGCTTGCAACTCTGCAGACTGCAAACGAGACGCCAAAAAAGCATAATGCAAGACATCTCCAGCAGCATAAACCCTAAGCCCGCCCAAATGAAAAGGGAAAGTGGCAAGTCGCCACTGCCAATCACCAAACCCGGGTCCAGAAGCAGTGACAATACGTTATAAACTAGACCGAAGTGTTGTGTCAAAAGATAGTTGGGTCGACCCAAAAATACGAGGGGAGCAAGTACGCAAAGCAAAGTAGAGTTTAGAAATACCAGTACAGGCCTGAAGCAAAAGCAACTCACATTGTGGGTCATCAATCCTAGCAACCAAGTCCATAAGCTCAATGGTCTTAGTAACTCTCTTCGCCACAAGCTCACTGCTAAAATCAGGACAAGAACTGACAGGACCACCCATAACGGTGACACCGTGTGGAGGTCGAGCGCTAGAGGCAGGGAAAACACCTGGAAGCCTACTCCTAGGATCCTTAGTAGGCCAAAAAACCTCTGTCTTACCCACATTTAGATGAAGGCCAACTCGAGGGCTTTCAGCCATAATCATGTCCAAGAACTTCCCAACAACCAAAGTGTCCCACAAAACAGTGTCATCATCCAAATACCAAGCCTGCATACTCAAATCAAAAGAGTCTCTGATCTTGCACACTAAAGGATGCAACGCCAAAGACAAAAGAAAAGGGCCCAAAGGGTCTCCCTACTGAACCCCCTGGCAAGACCATAAGCTATGCATCCTATAATACATTCGGGTAGGGCTAGAGTAACAGAACTCTACCCATCGGGACAGGACCAGGCAATGACGACGAACTTCCTGAAGCATGGCCCCACGATCAACTAAATTGAAAGCATTCTGGAAATCGACCAACAACATAGAGATACCTACGTCACCACTGCGGGCCTCAACGAACCGGTTCAAGGCATGCAAAATAGCCTCTCCTCCAACAGAAATCCCGAACCCAAACTGAAGACAGCAAAATAACCATATAAAGTAGGGCCAACAAGACAAGCACCAACCTTAGAAACAAGATGTCTCCAAACAGTGCCAACAGCTATAGGACGGATACCACCCTCTGGTTTAACAAGTGGCGTGAGCGGAGCGCTAGCAATGTACTCAACAAGGGGCTGCGGACATCGACCCTCAAGGAAAATTTTAACCACTAGAGTAATAGAGGCTAGCAAATCATCTGAGATAGCCACAACAGTTCACCCAAACAATCCATAAGATGTTGAGCTCGAAAAACATCCTCCCGCAAGATGTTCCACGAGGAAAGATCCTAATCATATCCAAAACAACAGTTAAAGAGGCAACAAGAGGATGATGATCCACAGGCGAAGTCGGTAATGAGGGAGATGGGGCAACATGATGCTTATTTTGCAAGTCCAGAAGAGTGGCATCAGAATAAGGGGCAACACTGGATGAGGAAAGCACCCGAACAGTAGCAATATAATGCCCATCATAAATCTTCCTCTGACATTTCCTAAGGTTGAGCTCACCCGAAACAAGATCCTCCTTTGCAGCAAACGGAGGGGGAACCTCATCTAAAGTCTCTCGCAAAAGCTGCAAACTGCCACCAGACCCCCAAGCAATAATATCACTGGTAACACTCTCCTCCTGACAAAGACGCCTAATAGCGGACTGGCACTCAAGATTACTCCGCGGAGAAAAGGTCTTAAGCACGTAGAGAGGCAACACAAGTAAGCGAATCCAGCAGGAGATGTCGCCAGGAGAAACACCCACATCATCCAAAGCCCCTTTCAGAGCCCTGGCAAACCCAAGGCGACACTTAGGAGGGATAGATTTCACAGTGCGAAGACCCCATATAGAACAAACGACCAAGCAAAGAGATAGACCAACCCACAGGCTCAACCCTAGCATCAGATGAGTGAACGACAAAAATGGAGCCAGAGGTCTAGGAATATCATAAATAATAAAACGAACAAGGCCGTCACCACAATCTGGAGGCTACACAAAAACATTCTCATCATGCCGACATTTAGAACGGAAGGCGTGGGTACGAAGACATACCCCACAAATCCAAAACCCCATCCGCTTGAGAGTAGTTTCAGCATTAGAAAACACCGTCAAACTATCATAAAGAGTTTGACGTGTAAGAGCCATAACTTCACCACGACAATGCCAATCTTTAAAGTGCTGGAGCAAGGAGGATTTAGTAAGATCCTTACCTCGACCTTCCTGACACCCATGGAGACCGACAAAAGGACAGTGATAACAGACCAGATCGGGCATGACAGCACAACAAATCGAAGAACAACTTGCACCAAGAGACAGCCGGGAAAAATAAAGCAAACAGATGAAAACCCTAAGAATCATAGAACAGAACCTCCGTCGACGAAGCAGGTGTTGTTTATTAAACCCTAAACGAACCGGCCGCATCTTTCCTTCTCATCAATTCCGCTAGTAGCAAAACCCCTCCTCTCACCATTCTCCTCCTGGCGCGACCACAAAGCTGTCGCTTCCTTCCTTGGAAAATCTTGTGGGAGCGAGGGATTGCGGTGCCTTCGGAGATCAGCGCTACAACTGGACTGAATGGATCAACTAGCCAGCTGCCAGCCTGTTGTTGCGTTCTCCATTCTTACTGGATCGTCATTCCATTCTTATTGTTATCATTATTATTAGTTGTTTATTATTATAGTATTGTGTTAGTTATTCGGCTAGTGTAGCCAATTTAGGTGGGGGTAATTAGTAGTATTAGGGAATTAGTGTTATAGTTGATTAGCGATGGTGGCCAGAGTGTTCGGCTCAAGATAGGGTGGATAACTATGGGTTATGCACTCATCAATAACTAAATCTGGACCCTTCATTCACAAAATCCATATCTAAGGATGGAGAATTAAATGTCAATTTTATTTTCCCTTGTTTTTTTAATCGGTTCGTATCTTCTCCGTTTTAACTCGGTTTTCAATTTTTTTTGCACAGATGGAACGAGTTCGTTGTGCTCTACAAAATGAGATCCATTTTCAATATTTTTTGAGAAAAAAATTATTGCCTCTCGATACCAACTGCATACCATATGGTATCTTCTTCGTTTTTAATTCGTTTTTGAAAATGTTTGCACAGAAGGAACGAGTTCATCATGATCTATTGGATCTACAAATTTCTGGGTGAACAAATTACAGGACCAAAAAATACCACACAATACCAAAAAATACCACCCTGGTACGAGGTGGTATCTTGTGGTATACAATATTAAAAGTCGTAAATGACAGTTAATATACTTCTACTATCATGTATTTAACCATCCTACAGTCTTGGTTTGTTCATACCACCATAGTACGCTTTTCAAACCATATGTATGCTCTTATTTCAATACCAATCAATACCATATGGCATAGAGTAGTAAAAAATGACTCAATTTTTTTTGTTCCAAAAATATATCAAAGTGAATATCATTTTGAAGAGCACAATTAATCTAATCTAACTGTGCAAAAAAAAATTTAATTTCGACTTGAAACGAGTGAGAAATCGTCCGTCAAAGATTAAGAATAAGAAAATTAAAGGCTTTCCATGAGAGAGAAGGATGATGATGTCATGCTGATGTGGACGGGTTACTCATGGTTAATCACCTTAAGGTTACTCACATGATCCGTTCCCAGAGTGTTTGAGAAGAGTTCCCCTGGAGTTTGGGTCTAGTAATTGGCCGACTAGTTTTAGGTAGTTTTTGGGTTTTGGGTGTTCTTATATATATGTACTTTGTGGTTCCGTTTTAGATATCGATCAATCAATGAAGAAGAAAACACTTAATTAGTTGTTTTAGTTTATTTATCGTTCTTGTGCTGCCATGCTTGATCCGTCAATGCATCACCTCTTCAAGTGGTCGCCAAATTCGTGGGGGACAATGTAATTTGATAGATGTGTTTATAGTTTTTCCTTTGTTATAACTGTATGCAAACCATGTTAGCACACGATGCGTTGTTAGTCTTGCTACCTCTGTTTGTGGCTATACTGTGGTTGGTTCTGCATAATTTAATTCTTCATCTGGCTGTGTTATTTTGTGCAAGTCGTTGATTTTGATATTGTTATATAGCAAAAAAGATGGTTCTGACTACCTGAAACCAAATTTGTTCTAATTGCTTTTGTGTAAACTTTTGGATTCATTGGTGTATAAATTTACGTTGCAAAAAAAAAGTATTGCCTTCTGGGGACGGGATACAATAAAAACACATTTAGTGTTGTTATAATAATAATTAGATTTGGGCACGTCCGTTGGCCGGATGAACTATATTAGTGGCACAAATAATAATAGTAATTGTCCGAATCAAGTTACACTTTAATTTGGTATCATTGAAAATCATCTTCATTAATGAAACCTGATATTCACCATCAACAATCTCTTCCTTTTTCTCCTACATTCCATTGGAAACCAAATTTTAGTGGTAAACATTATAAAATGTGAAACACATTTCGCGGTAATATAATTTTTCTCATCTAAATAATAAATATTATCAACAATTTGTTATTTCTTCCCATCATTGAAATTTTTATATCCACCATCAACAATATCTTCGTCTATCTTAATAACATAATTATCTCCATCACTGAATTCCACTACATATACCATTAGCATACTCTTCCTTCTCCTTCTGCATTTCACTGAAAGCAAAAAATTAATGTCCAAATATTTATAATTGTGAAACTACATTTTCAAGAACTTAAATTTACTCAGTATATGTCATGAACTTTGTTCGAGGTTGCTCTTCTTCATCTTTCATTATCTTCAAAACTATGTACCCACGTATGTTCGCAATGTTGTGATCAGTGAATTTGATATGAAAATTTAACTTCATTCTCTTAATCTGTAGGGGATGGGGAGGTGAAGGTTATCTCGTTTTGGCGCTATCTTTAAGTAGTTTCTCAGTAGGCATTCCAAAAGATCTAGGACCCTCGCGACAAAACAATAAAGTTAGATTAAAAATATTGTCTGCCGAAACTGGATGCTAATCTATAAAATAATAACAATTGAGATACACTATTTGATAGAAAACTTTATGTTTTAGTGGGTACAAATTTTTTTCTCGAATGAATGAACTTGAACTTAAAAATATTAGAATATTAGAGATAGATTATTATCCAACTACTACTTTCTTTGATGTTATATAATTCTTATAAAATTACTCATTAAAGTCTTCTTCGAATTTTCTTTGGCAAATTTAGTGAAAATAAAATTCCAATCTCATGCATAAGATTGGAATAACTTCTCAGCCAACATTCAAAAAATCAAGCTCTCACACAATCTGTAACAAATAAGTAATTAAGTCTGCCTCAACTGTTTTGTCGTCAACTCGAAACTGAATGTATAATGGTAGTAATGGATATTGAATAGAGGTGACAAATGGATTGGCTTTATGCATTGGTGGATTGGATTGGTAGATCCATGGATGAAATGGATTGGTGGATTGATGGATCGACCCGTGGATCCAAATGATATCCAAGTCTTAGATCAATATATAAATTTTGAAAAGTTTAGGTACTAAAATGGCATTATAAAAAATGTTGGGTACCAAGCGTAATTTTACAATGACATTTTTCGTATAAAAAATAAAGTATAGGTACCAAATCCTATGATATAAAAAATATGGGTACTAAACTATAATTTGCCAACAATCCATGAATCCACCTATCTAAATGGATTTGGATAAAATGGATTAAATTTAAATAGATTGAATTAACTGAATATTTAAGTGGATGAATTGGATTGAATTAGTGAATTGGATGGCAAACTGTCTCCTGAATGTTTAGTAATTATATTGATCTCCATGAATTACCTCATCCTCGCGTATTGAACACTACTACGAGTGCTTGGGCTCAATCTAATTGTGAAAACTGATAACACATGTTGTTGTACCTGCACTGCGACCCACCACTCACATTGGAGTATCAATAAACACCCATAGAGGCAAACTTCAAGACAAACCATTTATTGTTTCATTGATAATAGAATGTACGTGTGAGAGACTAAACATGCAACCATGCAGCCAACATAGAATTAGATTACATCTAAATTGAAAACAAACATGAAATCAATTGATTATATGTAAGAATATAAATTGACAATTCTCCCATACATCGCTTTGTCTTATATAAAAGGCAAAATACACTTGTATAGCCAAAATTTTGACTGTTTGGCCAAATATAGCCACGTTTGCGAAATACCAACTTCCGTCAAATTGTTTGACGGTGTTAGTTAACATGTTGGCTGGACTAACAGCAACGGATGACATGGCATATTTTATTCAAAAATAATATTAGATGGAAAATAATAAAATTAAATAAATAATAAAAACAATAATCACTCCTTGTAACAATAGAAATAATAAAAAAAATCATAAAAACAACAAAAAAAAATCATAAATTTTATCCGCTGCATCACCACCATCGCCTGTTCACCTTCACCCAATTCTTTCCCAAAAATGAATCCTTCCCTTTCTTCCATCTCCTCCTAAAACGAATCCTTTTTTTACAAAATTTAATTTTGTAATCCTTCCCCAAAACCCAATCTTTCCCATAGTAATAAAATCCTCAAGCTTCCTCCACTTCCATTCTCTCCCAAACATCTTCAGATCTATTTTCACAAAATCGAAACCATGGGGTAGCCTCGCCACCGCTCTTCTTCCCCATCCCTTCCCCAAGCTTTCAAGAACAGAGTTCCACCCACAGTGGCGCAGAAATCCGCCGATCCAATCGAGGTAAAGAATCTCCATCTGCGGTGCCCAGTTTCGTACCAGCAGACCTCTCTTGGTTTCCTCTATCCGGCGCGATGCCCTCGGGCAGGAAATCGGATCGACGGTCGGATCACCCATAGGAAAGAAACGACGCTCTGTTCTAGCCCCATCGCGAGCTCCATCATCTGCGATGGGTTGATGCTGTTTTGGGATCCGAACGAGATGTACAGAACCAAACCCGGATGTAGGATTCGAGCCATTCGATACACTTCTCAACAGAAACCCCCGGCGTCTTCCCCGATTGTCGCCGGATATTGGTGTAGTACCCGATTTCTGAAGAATTTCTAGAGTCAACAGAGGGTCAATCCCCCAGATTTGGCGATTTGAATACTTACCGAAGAGTTTGAATCCTAGTAGCTCGATTTCTTCCATGAAATTGCAGAGCCACCCATGAGATTTATCTAGGGATTTGGAAATTTGGGGCTGGAAGAATTTCAACCAAAGATCTTCTCCATCTGCCATCCTCAGAAATTAGAAGCGTAAAATCGTAAGTTTTTAAGTTTTAAAGCGTAATTTAGTATGATTTTATACACTAAAGTTTTTACATAGAAACGAAAGCGTTTTGGTGACCTAAAAGCGTAAAACCGTAAGTTTTTAAGCTTTTAAGCTTAAAGCGCGATTTTGACTGCATTGCTCACAATGCAATCAATTGCATATTAACCACCAAGGTAATTAATGTCAGATTTTTTATATGCAAGTAACGTTTTTAATGGGAAAACTTAGAAGTGAACAAAAGGGCTATTAGTGGCTAGGAAGACAATTAATTAGAGGCAAAAAAGGGGAAACTTTTTTGATTGAGCCAAAATAGGGGAAAATAGGGAAAGCTAGTAATAAATAACATAGAATCTTCAAAGTTATAGTATTCCATATCTATGTTTCGTTTTCCCTTTATTCCAGTGTTTTTTATGTTAATTTATATAACTTCTAATTATTTAACGTGGCAGGAGGATTTGTTTGGACTAAAGCCTCTAATATTAATCTATGTCTCATATTTGAATGTGGGAAGAGATACCTTGAAAATATTAAAGATGCAACTTTGTAATTGGTCAAGTGTATTCTCATATATCACTTAAAGTAATTTTATGTTATTATGTTATTATTTGGGTGGTTTCGTGGATCTTTTTATTCCCTTTTCTTTTCAACGTCCATTTAATATTTTCTAATCATTCTATTGCCTATATAAAAATTTAGTTTCCTTCTTTCTAATTATGTAATGATTTTAGATTATCTTTTAAGGCTTATGTGAATTATTTTATGAAATGTAAGATAGAGAGCAATAATTTTTTAAGAGCGAGCAATGCAAAATAGTTGGAGAGATTATGAATTATTAATAGTTATCATCAATGGTCATATCATCAGAAAAATTATTCTGCACTTTTCAGATAGAGACGACTCTGAATAAACCATACATTCTGGTGATATAAGAATGACTCTCCTTTTCTCTAAGACAAATTTGGCATGAACATATATTAAGTTGTGAGATGTAAAGAATTACCTTAACAAAGATATATGTACTTACATTTTTTTAATATCAAATCGGAGCATTAATGATTCTGAACAGAAAATTTTATTCGAGACATAAAATTGTAAAAAATGATCGCTAATATTTATATGAAACATAATATGTATAATTTTAGACATAGTCATTTAGCGATTGTTTGATTAACCACACATCCCTAACGACAGTGGCGGAGGGAGGTCCACTTGGAAAAGTTTAAATGATTATGTATGTGTATATAATTATTTAATTTGGATAGACTCGGAATTCAGGACCCCACTCCTATAAAATTTAATTGTTATAGTATTATGAAACACGCAAATAAATTAGACTATCGGTCATATAATATTAAAAATTCTCATTTGTATAATTTTTTTATTAAAAATTTTTCTAGCCCAATTAAATATGTATAAAAATTCCCCGGCTATATCTACAAAGCCCTTAATTCAACAATTTTTCTATTAAGATAAAATTTATTTGTCATCAAATGTACTTTATTATACGTTTATGTGTTCAATTTTGCTTGGGAACTATTTATTTTAGCTAGTTATTGAAATGTCACTTATCAACTATAAGTTACAAAAAAAAAATGTAAGATAGAGATCTAATATCCGATGAGTTGATGTTAGACTACATGACTAAATATTCCAAAGAGAATTTGCTTGATAACTGAATATGGTGCCATAGAATTTTTTTTATAAATAGTACCCATTAGACTCGGATCCTAACTACGCTACTACCTAACCATATGCTATTGTGGTTCTATTTCATAGTCGATTAGTGAAAAAGTGTTTGTTTTCAGTCAAATTGCAATGAATTCATGATAATTTAATTAATTGCCCTGGCCATTCCTAACCATGTTCATAATGGACAACTTGGTCTTTATTTTTAGTTAATTTAGACTTTTTTTCAATTGCTTCTCCTACAGAAGAAGCTTGACTATTCTGTGGTTAATTGAGTGACATTCGAATTTGGCTTTGCCCACCCGCGGCACATAAAAGAAGCCGGACTCATGAATAAAAATAAGCCCATCTCATGGATTTAAAGAAATCTAAGTAAAAGGACCGATGAGTCCTCTCGTACTATGCGCAGAACAAAGGAAAAAAGGAACGAAATGGCTACAGGCGGGGAACCTCCATATATGATTGGGAGAACAAGGGTAAAATGGTCCATTAACACAATATCTAACAAAATAAAATTCAATTAATATATATTTGCTGGTCACTTCGCCTTCTCCGCTTTCCCTATCCCTCAACTCCGACCCAAATTCCGCCTCCCCTGTCCTACAACGTCGGTCTTTTGATTCTCGCCGCCTCCAGAAACACGATCACCGATTCCGGCGCTGGTCTCCCTCCTGCGATGGCTCCTCATTTCGATCGCTCCTCATCCGATTCAGGTACTTTGACGCACCCTCCGCCACCAAAACCGCTGGCGCCACTCCTTCAGGAGACGACGGATCGACTACTGAGAGGGAAAAGAAATTGGAAGGGTAGAAAACAACACCGACAAAGGCGTTCTCGGTGTCGTCAAGGAGCCGACGAAGGTAGCGCGTAACCCCACCATGATGTCCTCCCGCTGTCGTGCGTGCCGACGAATCTCGCCGCGCCCATCACCAGAACCCGCACCCCCGGCTCTCGACCTCGGCTGCGACGATTTGATGACCCGCGACTCCCAATCTGGCTAGCGCAGGATTCGACGGCGGTTAGTGTATAGGACCGGAAAATGGTTCGTTTGAATTGAAAACCACATCAATATTGTGGACCTGCAGGCTGCAGAGTCCCTTATTGTTTCACTACTGAATTCTCCATTGACAATTATCCAGCTAAACACACTGTTACTCGGTAATAAAGTGAGACCATGTAGAAATAAGATGAGGCAGAAAATCCTAAATGAAACCTACGTGCTGGTAAAACAGTAAGGCACCTAATCCCAATGAACTGACCAATAAGCCATTTGCTGCCCCTGTTAAAGTTTCATACAGACAAAAAAACATCACAAAAAGATGCAACCTCCTTGCCTAGTGTTGATTGTTGAACCTCTATCCAGGATAATGCAGAAGAAGAGCTAGATAGTTCACGATTCAGAAACTTTTGGCGTGCAGTGCCCATGCTTGAATAAAGGAACACTTCAGCATAAGTTTGTATATTCGACCACAAACAAGATTCGTATTCTAGATCTTACACAAACCAAAATCTATTCTCAAGCCACTTAATCCAGAAATCTATAAGTTCAAGGGAAGAACATAACAGTGCACATGAAATGTTCATGGGATCGTATAGAAGCTCAAAGGAGCAGCCAAATGTAAAACCCAAAAATTTATCACTATGTGTTAACACCACAAATCTTGTAATGTAAACCATAAATTTCATGAAACATACCAGAAACACCATAAAACATACCATAAATGTTTCTAAAGCACACCAGAAACCTCATAATGCAGACTACAAATCGCCTAAAACATACTAGAAACACCACAGAGCAAACCACAAATATTTCAAAAGCACACCAAAAACCTCCTAATGTAGACCACAAACACGGTAAAACAAACCACAAAAAAACATATAAGAAACCTCCCAATGCAGACCACAAATCCCCTAAAACAAACCAGAAACTCCACAATGCAAACCACAATATTTGCGAAAGCACATCAGAAACCTCATAATGCAAAACACAAACACGGTAAAGCAAACCACAAAAGCAAACCAGAAACGTCCTAAAGCATACCACAAATTTATTAAAACAAACCAGAAACCCAGCAAAGCAAACCACTAAATTTTTTAAAGCACACCAGAAACTTCTTAATGCAAACCAGTAACACGATAAAGCAAACCACAAATAGCATAAAAAACACAAGAAACTAAACCATCAATCTCACAATGCAAACTATTATATCCGGTGGTCGTTGACGGTTGACCGGTCAACGAAAATCGTTGACCAAACTCCGATGACCATGGGTGACCAGATTCCGGCACCGAAAAGCATATTCCGGCCTAGTTTCCGACGCCTGTAAGCATATTCCGACGCCGATAAGCATATTCCGGCGACAAAAAAGCATATTCCGACACAAAAAAGCATATTCCGGTGACTGAATTCCGACGACCAAAATTTTGAGCAGAAAATTAAAAAATATTTTTTTAATAATTTAATTTTAATAATTTTATTGTTATTTCAACATAATTTTCATAATGACAATTATACCCCTATTTTGATTTTACACTAAGTCAACTCAACTAATAAAAAGTAATCACATCCCTACCTTCTTATTGGTGGAAGACTAGTGTTGTCACTATAACAACACAAGTGGTGGTGTCATAGTATCTACTCCCTGCCTTCGGTGATTGAAAACCTCGAGAGTTGAGACACATGTTGCTTGCCTGCTTAATACTTTCCTTTTATTGAGTAATTGCTTGTATGAATAATACCACCTCACATCGATATGTTCATCTCAGATTTAGAGCAATCAAACACAAGATAAAAGATGAATACTTTTATGAATGAGGGTGTTCAAATGGTTATCATGGTTATAATTAAATTAAATAAGGCTAAATTCCATTAACCATGGAATACAATATCATAACCAAACCGTCCAAACTAATACAACAACCAAATTAACCAATATAAAATCACATTATAATTGACGATGAAAATTTTCTGATTAATGCAACAATTCACAATTCATATAATGAATAAAACATAATAATCAACACGGAGTTATAGTTGACCCTTAACAAAAATACATGCAACTAAGACAATTATCTTACGATTAGTATAGAAGTATTCACTTAACAAAAAATTATGACAATGGTATGGGTTAATGAATTGTTGTGTTTGTGTAAATTGACTTAGTCTCTTAGCAATTATCATAGGCTGGAAATGACCTTCCTTTCAAGTTTTCATTCATCATAATGTATGAAATTTATCTAAATTAGGCGTCCATATGTTGTGGTCTAGAATTTACATATAC